TGTCTCCAGTTTCCCGGGCCCCTCACTGCACTGCAAGCTCCCAGCAGATAAGACATAGGATCAGATGGAGTCCACCTTAGTGATATCAGTGTGTGAGGTTTCAGCCCAAGGTGCTTGAAATTGCTAACTCACAGCTGGTGTTATCACACCCTCCAAGTTTCCAGATTTTCCAGGGACAGTTCTGGAATTAGAAAAGCCACCCCAGCTTCTGATTTGATCTCAGGATGTCCCTATTTCCTCTGCCAGTGCTGCCACCACCAAGCTTGGGGAGAATGAGCCAATGAGCTGGCACTTGTATGAGCAACAGCAGCTGCAGCTACTGCAGCTGTGAGGGAGCATACTGTTGCCTCTCCATAGACCCTCCATGGCCGCCATTGCTGCCCCCCTCCCTTGGGCAGTTCATAGCAGCTGCTGGAGAGCAGAAGAGGAGGTGGACAGACTGATACAACTGAGGCCCAGCCCTGTGAGATGCACCGTCTCTGAGGGGAAGGCAGGGAGGGAAGAAAGGGGGAGTGGGAGTGGAATGCAAGGAGAGTTGATATTTTAAATAAAATTTCCCTTCTTCTGATAGGAAATGCTCTTCAGGGAGGACCAAAACTGGGGGGTTGGCGGGGAGTAAGAAATGTCCCTATTTTCATCTGAGGAACGTTGGAGGGTTTGGGTTAGCATTTGAGCTGCAGGGGCTGTTTTGCAATAGCTGGCTTAACGGAGGCAAGAGATCAGAAGGGGGAAAGCTTTGAAAGGTAAGGGAAGTGAATTGTTATTATTTCCTCCTTGAGCTGCAGGTTTCAGATCAGGTTTTATGCCAAGCTATGGAACAAAGTGGAAACATCCAGCATGGCTTCTCCTTGTGCTATGAGAAGAAAAGAGGAAATTCCAGTGGCTGGGCCTCTCACCTTTCCCAAGTAGTAAAATACACCCACACGCTTTTAAAAAAGAGAAAGAGCGAAAGTATCCCTTATGAACCTGCTACTCAGGGACTCTGTGCATAGCAATCCCATTCTCTTTCACTTCACCTCAGATTCTAATTAAATCTTCTCTCTCTCCACTCTCTGCATAACCCTGTTCGGGAACCCGGTATCCTCTACGGACTTCAGATCACACAGTGCACACTACTTAAAATCTCAAAAGGAATGAGGCAGCAGACATCCTTTATTGTATATACCTGGACAAGGCTCTGCACCCAACCCCCTCACTTTCTTATTTAAAAATAGCAGGCAGCAGTACTGAAAGGGCACCGTGGCTTAAAATGAAGGAAAAGTAGAAGTGGAAACTAAGCGGGGATTAACTGACATCTGCAATAACATTTAAAAGTTGTGGAGCAAAACTGTGAAGGGCCTGGATGCAGCTCTAGTCTAGCTGCACGTAAGAACTGGTGGTTCTACATAGGGATGCAGGTCCCTGTGTGCATTTCTTAAAAGTGGGGGATTCAGTCATTTCAGTGGGATCCAGCTAGTTTCTGTAGTGGGAAGAGTGCACACTCCAGATGGACCTTCTATGCCAAATCCCCCCCCCCATTGGATCAGGGCATCAGGCTGCAACCCAATTATGTCCCACTTGGAAATAATGATACAAAATGAGCCTTAGTCAGGCCTAGCTCTTATGGAGCAGGTAAACTTGGATATGGGGGCTGAAAGGTGGTACATAAATATTCAAATAAATAAAATGTATTCAGCGTTCTAGTACACACAAAGGGTCTCCCTACTCCAAAAGATCTCACGGAGAGCTGTAAAGATGATGAACACTGGAGACTGTGGGGCTTGCTAGTGCACTCCCCACACCGCCTTGCAATTGTCATCACATGAGACAAATAAATGCCCAAATTGGCCTATTGCATATTTAATGGTGTGCGTTAGAGTGTATGCCCAAGATCCACCTGGATGAGCAAGTTAGAATCCAGCAGATCTTTGGGTCAGCTGTCTAATTTATGGCATAACTGGGCTGTGTTGGCATAAGGCGCACATCCTAGCTTAGCTGGAGATACACTGACAATTCCCTTGTCCCGGCTCAGGAGATCTTGTGCTGGCATAAGCCCTGAAAAAAATGGTGTTCTGGAAATGTTGTGGGGGTGGGACTGAGCAAGGGAGACTTATGCTAGATCCTAACTCTCTTCTGATAAGTCACGTGTCCTGGTGACCTGGCAGAACTTACACTATAAAAATTGGTAGTGTAAGTCAAATTAATGGTTTGTTTTCCATCTAGCAGACCTAGGTTGTCTAAGCCTGTAGCTGCCCCACTTCTGAAGGGTGTTTGGAACAGCCAGTTTCCTATACTTAGGAGTGCTCTGTAAATCTTGATATTGGTGAGACCCTAATGCTCAGTTAAGATATAAGAAACCATCAATTATGGATTGCAAGGTGGGCACATGGGATTGTAGTGATGTCCTTTTGACATCACTGTCCTGTGCAGATTGCTTCTTTTCTGTTTTGGTGTTTTGTAGGATCATTGCCAGCTTCCCTAGAAACTGAAATCCCACCTGAGCAGGGTTCCAGTTCATGTGCACGCTTATGCTTGTAATGGTTTGCACACATGGGCTTCACTGATGCAAATATTGTGTGGGTGTCAGGGTGTGGCAGAGGACATGCACAGCCTCAGCGGTGGGGCGAGCATTTTGGACTCATTTCCTCTTTGTACATAGGGAGACCCATCATAGGATGAACATGAGAAGGGTTCTCCAGTTGCCATTCAGGCTAGAGTATCACCCAACACATGGAAACCCCCAAACTAGATCCTGGAACACAGGAAGTTGCCTTATACTGATCATTGGTTTTTCTAGCTCAGTATTAACTGGCAGCAGCCTTCCAGAGTCTGGGATAGGTGTCTTTCCCAGCCCTACCTTGGTTAGCTTTAAAAGACGATTAGACAAATTCATGGAGGACAAGGCTATCAATGACTACCATCCACAATGGTTATGTTCTACCACCACTGTCAGAGCCTCTGAATACCAGCTGCTGTGAATCAAAGGTGGACAGAGTCTTCTTGCGTTCCTGTCCAGTTTGTGGTTGACCACTGTGAGAACAGTATGGTGGACTGGATGGGGCATTGGCTTCATCCAGCAGGCTCTTCTTATGTTCTTCCTGGAGATGCCAAAGATCCATGCAAGGTGGACGTTCTAATACTGCTCAACTACCTACAGACCTTCCTTGGGTGCAGGGGGATCTGCATGCAAGCAGGGAGGGTCTGGGTGGTTCATGCCCCCCGGCCTGCTCCTTGGTCACTCAAACCCTGGTTGCAGTTCAACTGGGTCTAACAGACGCAGCTACACACAACTCCTTGTTGACAGTGAATCCTGATGAGGGGAAAAAGAAGCACCCTCAACAGCGTAGCAAAGAGACAATGCACTTTCAGATCCATATGAATATTCACGGAGTCATCCTTGCATCCACCCAGTGCTTGAAAGGTACCAAAGGAACAGAGCACTTAGATCTAAGAAAATTTAGGGCATAACAGGACAACAAAGGGGAATTATTTTAATTTCACATTCTGACAGTCAGAATACGCCTGAGCAAAGCAAGATCATACTAAATCAGCTTTTTTGTATGCAGGATGAAGATTGTGTTGTTGAGTTGTGTGGGACTTCTCCTTTTTTTTAACCATGTTTAGTTTTCTAACATCAACTTCAGTTACCTGTCTGACCTATTTTTGCTCGATTCGTTTTTACTCTACTTTCCAGCCCAAGGATAAAAATCCTTCTTTGCCAGCCTCACCGGGAAATTCTTTGCATGAGGGCTCCACTGATATCACTAGTCTGGCTGTTGCCTGGGGCACAATTATAAGTAGTGCTGTTATTTTATGTTGAGGTTTTGCAAATGACTCTTCTTCTTTTTTTGTAAAGAGAGAATATCATGAAGTGCTTAGTATCTTACAGTTACATGCCCATGTATGTTTCCTTGTTGACCTAAAAGTTGAAGGAATGCCAAACGAATCCAGCTTGCTCTCAATGGGGCCACTCCAATTCCATTGTCCCCCCCCCCCATTGATGTCTTCTTTTAATAGTTCTACTTGCATAGATTAAGGCCTATCATGGAAGAACATGCACCGAGTAATCCATGTTATTATGGGAGAAGGCAAACAATTTACATGAATTTCCCAGGAAAGACCCACAAGACTAGAATCCTGCCCTGTGCACATGAACTTTAAAATGCACACCATTCTGAATCCCACAATAAGGATATTTTTCATATGGGTTCCTTCCTGGTTTACGTCCCTTGCCCCAGGGAGGAGACAAAAAAGCTGCAGTGGAAAGTTGCAGCAAACCACCAAGCTAATCGTTGCTGGTTTGTCTTTAGCTATAAGCCAGAAAACAATTCTCTGAACTGTAGATCTCAGTAACAGCACAATCCTACACAGGTCTGCTCATAACTAATCCCTATTTAGTTCAATGGGATTTACTACCCAGTGGTTGAGTGTAGGATTATAGCCTGATGGTACAATTCTATGTATGCTACTCAGAAGTAAGGCCCACTGAGTTCAACAACACTTATTTCCAGATAACTAGGTTTAAGTTTTCAAACTTTAGATGCTACCCCCATGTAGTTCAAGGCTAGATACACATGGATTATGCCATTTTATCCTGATAATAACCCCATCTTGTTCACGCTAATGAGTTACATGGTTAAACCCACAGCTCCTTGATGTAAGTCTGCTATGCCCACCCCGCTCTGGCTTAAGATGCAGAAGGACAACACATTCTGAATCATCTCCTTTGGACTGGCTTACTGCTTGAACCATCTAGTTTGATCTTACTAGCATGTTGGGATGCTGTTAAATTGCACAACATGTGGATTTTTGACTGGAGTTCTAGGTTGAGAATAGGATTTATGGTCCATCAGTTTTCAATGGGTTCCAGATCTGGTCCAGAAATAGTAAATTATGTGAAAACAACTTCAAGCACAATGAATCCACAAAAACAACAAGATTTATTCAGGAAGAAGTGACATCACCTAGGCTTCTTTCCCCTGAAATGCTTCTTTGTCTTGGACTATAAGGACTGATGTTTTGGGCCCTGAACAAATAAACTTGCATCGTATCTATCTGCAAAACAACAGTAATAGCCTCCACTTGCCAAACTTGCCTTCCCATCATTTAGAAAGAGTGTCCTTGGTGTGATGGAGACATACACGAAACAAAAAAAATAAACCCTTACAAACCAAGGAAAAGGTTGACCTTTCATACCAAATATAATTCAACACCCCCAAGTTTCACTTCTTCCATGTACTGTTAAAATCTCAGTGCTTCTTTGGAGGCAGAACGATTGCTTGATAAGATCACACAGATAAAGTGACATTCATCATCTCTCTCACACATAATTAAATCCAACAAAAGCAATATTTAAGGCAGATAAGCTGAGTACACGATGGGTAATTATGTGTAGGGAGCTCTACTTTTTCCCCTCCTCACACTGTACAGAGCCTAATTAGACCTTGAGGGACAGTGCATCTTGCTCGCCTAATCGTATGTGCCAGTCACATGCAGCCAACATTTCGTAAGAGAAGCTACCAAGGTCCTTGTCTAGCAGCTGCTCATCATCCCCTTGTTACGATGAATGCACTTCCAGCTCTTTAACATGCAGTTTGGATTGGTTTTGCCACCCTAATAGGATAATAACATCATTCATAATCAGTGTTCTCCAAAATGTAAATGATTTTAATTGTTCGCACACAATGGAGCCCTCTATTAAAAAAATACACTCACACACTGAAGCCCAGCCGAGAAAATTAATTTGCAGTGTTTGTTAACCATAATGAAATAAAAGTTGTTTCGGTTTAATGAATTCAGCAGCAAATTTCATAACTTCATAATGAACACAAACTCAATTTTTTCCGGGGGTAACTTAACCATCAGTTCAAGTGAAAAGATCCATTCTTTGGGAAATTCAAGAGTCACTAGTTCTATTTCTTGGGGTCATTCCAATTAATAAAATGAGAAATATTTGACAATGCCAGAGTAGAAAGAATGCTGCGTAGCATTGAAACTCTCCTTTCCCACCACCTCATTTTCATTTTTCCCCCCTCTCCAATTCAATATTTAATGTGCTTGTATTTAAAATAAAAATGTTGGCCATCGAGAAATATGGGAATTAGCCAACCTTTAAAACACATGCACAGAGTTAACTTTTAACTAATTTAGTATTGCAATTCTTACTGTGTTATTTCTTTATTTATTAAAGGTGCTCTGCCAATTCAAAACAACAGCTTGGGTTTATTTAAGGTGTTCTCAATTAGTAGTGAATTATCAAATCCTTTGAATTCAATAAGCAGTTTATAGGATCATGAAATAGGTAAGCTGAAATCCGGTCCACACTTAAGGTGCTTGTCATTATGCAATGCAATCCCACACACACACACACACACACACACACACACACACACACCCCTACGTGAAATCAGTTCTTTGGAGTACAGTGGGAGTGACTTCCAAGTAAGATTGTCTAGAATTGCAGCTTCTAATACCACATATATCAAATTTTGGAAATTTGGCCCAGGGGGTACATCTTCATTAGAAGCGTTATATAATTCATTGCACTTTGGGGACACTTGTTTGGGGTAAGTTTCTTTATCTACCAACAAGCACTCACCATAAATTATGTTTCCTCTGATGTTCCACCTTGTAAATGAAATCAACTGTGATCTGCTCTTCAAGCATGGAGGGACCAGGAAGGAGCATATCGCTGGATGCTTCAGCGTGAGGCAGGGAAGAGCCTCACCTTGACCTCAGTGTAACAAGCAGTAGGCAAAGTAGTACAGTATCAGGAAACTGCTGAGGCAACAAGGTGGGGAGGGAGAGAGGAAGAATGCTATCCAGTAGAGTCACTCCATATGTTATGCTCAAGCAAAGCAGCACCTGTTGCCATCTGCAGTATTTATGCATTTTTGTCTGCATTCCGGAATGTGACATATGAAGCCGACCTTCCCCAGTCTGGTGCCCTCCATGTTTGGGCCTACAAATCCCATCAGCTTCAGCCAGCTTGGCCAGTGGCCATGGATGATGTGAGATGTAGTACAACACAACTGGAGGGTACTGCCAGATGCAGGAGTGCTGTGCTATTGTCTCTGCGAATCAGGACTCAGGGTGGCTTGTGAAAATTAAATCAAAGGCAAATAAAACACACATAACTAAAACCATATAAAAGGTTGTGGTTAAAAAAAATCAGGTATCCATGGGATTAAAACAGATAGATAGATGATGATAGAGATAGATAGATGATAGATAGATAGATAGATGATAGATAGATAGATAGATAGATGATAGATAGATAGATAGATAGATAGATGATAGATGATAGATAGATAGATAGATGATAGATAGATAGATAGATAGATAGATAGATAGATAGATAGATAGATAGATAGATGATAGATAGATATAGATGATAGACAGATGATGATGATAGATGATAGATAGATAGATAGATAGATAGATAGATAGATAGATAGATAGATAGATAGATAGATAGATAGATAGATAGATAGATGATAGATAGATAGATAGATAGATAGATGATGATAGATAGATAGATAGATATAGATAGATGATAGAGAGAGAGAGAGAGAGAGCGAGAGAGAGAGAGAGAGAGATAGATAGAGCAAAGGAAGAACATTGCTGTACAGCACACTATTAAGAGGTCTTTCCTTAAAAGCAGTCAACTCCCCAAAAACCTACTGGGTTTAGTTCATGTTAAACTATGGAACACACTCTGACAGGAGACAGTGATGGCCACCAACTTGGATGGCTTCACAAGAAGATTAGACGAGTTAATGATGGCTATCAATGGCTAATAGCCATGATGGTTATGATCTGCATCCATGGTGAAAGGTAATGATGCTTCTGAATACCAGTTGCTGGAAACCACAGCACTGGCAGAGGAAGAGGACTGCAGGAGGAGCACACCATCCCCGGCAGCGCGATCCCAGCAGGGTGCCATCATGGCTGTGCCCCACCCACGCTGGGCGCCATGCCCCCAGGATGTGTGCCAGCCCTGCCCCCGCCTGCTCTCTGCCCCCCGGTGCCGGAGCATGAAGCTCCACCACTGAACCACAGGAGTGGGAAGAGTGCTCTTCTGCTCAGGTCCTGTTCCTACAAGAATTTGATCAGCCACTGTGAGAACAGGATGCTGGATTTGATGGGTCAGTGGCATGATCCAGCAGGCTTTTCTTTACCTGGCTGCTAGCTTGGAAATTGTTTTTATTACCAACGTTGTTACTGCTAAACAGCAATCCAGAGCAGTTCTGTGAAAAATATTTCATCTCTAGAATAATTTCTGACATCATGACAATTTTTTAAATACTTTGAAGGGAGGAATAATGGAAATAGATTCTTCTATACAGTCGTACCTTGGTTCTCAAATGACTTGGTACCCGTATGTCTTGGTTGCCAAACGCCGAAAACCCGGAAGTAAGTGTTCTGGGTCTTGAGCATTTGGCAACCAAAACGTATGGGTACCAAGTGTTCTGGTTTTCAAATGTTTTTCGGAAGCTGAACGTCCGACGTGGCTTTCACTTGAGTGCAGGAAACTCCTGCAGCCAATCAGAAGCCGCACCTTGGTTTTCAAATGTTTTGGAAGTTGAATCGACTTACAGAACAGATTACGTTTGACTTCCAAGGTACGACTGTATATTTATCTGTTAAATAATGAAAGCTAGAAATGACCAGGTATATAAAGGTAGTAAAATATTTCAAACAAATTAATTATGGCTGTGAATGTACGAACAGTCTGTTTTATACTGAAGCAGACCCATAGACTAACTAGCTCAGCTCTCTGTACACTACCTGGCAGTAGCTCTTCAGGATATGCAGATAGGGACCTATACAGCACTGCCTAGAGATGATGGCGACTGAACCTGAGACCTTCTGCCTGCAAAGCATGTACTCTACTGCTGAACTATGGCAATATGTGATAAATCAGTACATATAATACAAAAGAAACAGGTTCAACCCAGAGATACTCTTCTATCTGTGCTTCCGGGGAATGCCATCTTGTTGGATAATATGTAACATTCTCTTGCAACTCTGTATATGGAAGCTTGAACACAAAGATGCATTCTCAGTGGCCAACCTTCCATTGCGGAATTCCCTTCCCTAGAGATGTACCCCAGTCATGGTGTGTTCCAGAAGATGTGTAAGACCTTATTATTCAGATTGCATATTGGTGGCCAGGGAAAGTAGAAGGAGGCTGGAAAGTTGTGTGGTGTAAGGTTTGTGCATGTGTGTGTTAGAAAACTCTGGCATTTGTGTGGCTGGAAAGTAACCTACTGGGAAAGGCAGTTATCATATCTGTGTTTCTATTCCATTCCCCATCTGTCTCCAGACACCACAGATACACAAACCTCAGAGGGACTCCCTCCCTCCCTCCCTCTCTATAGATGCACACACACACACAAACATACTTTCTGTCGCAGGAGGAATAGTAGTGTTCTGATGAGCAAATAGATTGTCTCCTTGACAAGCCTGGGAATGGTACACTTCCAGAATCTAATTGTTACTTTATGTGCCTATTGGGGGGACAGCTGTACAAATTACTCATTCAAACAAAAGATTTTCCTGTTGCAGCAGACATGGGTGTGACTTGTAAAAGTCATCCATTATCTGCAAAAAGTAACCTGAGAAGACTCGGCTTGATTTTTTTTAAAGGGAACGTTAGACAGTTTGTTGTGGTGGTAGTGCTGTAGGAATTAATGTCGCACTAATGTTATGGAAACCACCACTCCTCACTCCACACATGCGAACAGTCCATCACTTAAAAAACAACAACAACCCAGTCCATTGTAGTAGTGGTGATGGTGAAGATAGGTCAAGTAATGTGGAACGATGAGCTACTTATCTGGAAAAGATTTGCCTTAGATTAATTTATCTAGTGGGATATAATAATAATAATAATAATAATAATAATAATAATAATAATAAATTTTATTTATATCCCGCCCTCCCCAGCCGAAGCCGGGCTCAGAGCGGCTAACAACACTAAAATAGTGCAACATTATAAAACATTATAAAAATTAATTAAAATCAAAATTGATGGCAACCATAAACTAAATTTTGTAAGTTTTGTAATGCATACACTGTTGGTTTTCTGCAAGAGAGACCCAAGTTAAGAATATAAAAACCATAGTGGATCAAGGGTATGAAAATCAGTAGCCTGATTTTCATAGTGGCCAATCAGATGCTTCCAGGATAAGAGTGAGCAAATTTGTCAAATTTAGTTTCCCATAGCTACTCACCCTTCCAGTTTTAAGGTCAGTCTAACTTACCTTTATAAGGTGGCTTTCTGACAGTAAGCTGTTTGGCAGTGGAATGGACTCCCATGAAAGGTGATAGACTCTCCTTCCTTAGAAGCTTTAAAGCACAGGTTGGATGGCCACCTGCCATGGATGTTTTAGTTTAAAGTCCTGCATTGCAGGGAGTTGGAATAGCAGTGGAATAGCATATGCCCGCGCTGCCTAGGGTGGGCGCGCTCCCGAGGGGTGTGGGGTGAGGAATGTGCCCTCCCATGTGCCACGGTTCAGGGTAGGAGAGGGACGGGGAAGCTGCTGCTCACTCTCCTCCTGCTCTCCACAGCCGGGTCAGACATGACCTGGCAACGGAGCTGCTGCGGCCAGCTGTGCCTCGCCACGGCAGAGAAGGGCTGCTCTCTGCCGCTGGGTCAGAAGAGCTGCTGCTGCCAAGCGCGAGGTGTGCCACCCACTCGCCTGCCATTTTGTCACCCTCCTCAGTCATGATACCCGGGGTGGTCCGCACCCATCGCATCCCCCCTTCCTACGCCTCTGTGGAGTAGATGACTCTCAGTGTCCCTTTCAACTGTACTAGTTATCTCCCGCTTGGACTACTGCAATGCACTCTACGTGGGGCTACCTTTGAAGGTGACCTGGAAACTGCAATTAATCCAGAATGTGGCAGCTAGATTGGTGACTGGGAGTGGCCGCTGAGACCATATAACATCGGTCCTGAAAGATCTTCATTGGCTCCCAGTACATTTCCAAGCACAATTCAAAGTGTTGGTGCTGACCTTTAAAGCCCTAAACTGCCTTGGTCCAGTATACCTGAAGAAGTGTCTCCACCCCCTCGCTCTGCCCAGACACTGAGGTCCAGCGCCAAGGGCCTTCTGGCAGTTCCCTCCCTGCAAAAAGTGAAGTTACAGGGAACCAGGCAGAGGGCCGTCTTGGTAGTGGCGCCCGCCCTGTGGACGCCCTCCCATCAGATGTCAAGGAAATAAACAACTATTTTACTTTTAAAAGACAACTGAAGGTGGCCCTGTTTAGGGAAGTTTTTAATGTCCGACACTGTATTGTTTTTAATATTCAGTTGGAAGCTGCCCAGAGTGGCTGGGGAAACCCAGCTGGATGGGTGGGGTATAAATAATAAATTATTATTATTATTATTATTATTATTATTATTATTATTATTACTACTACTACTACTACTACAATTCTTTGATTTCCCCTTTCAGAAATTGCATTGATCTCAGGAGTGCAGTCAGCAGTATGCATGATCTTGGTACCACTCTACAGTTTTTGCTTATGTTATTGAGATGACCTTGTGGGCAAAACCTCAACTGAACAAAGAAGGGTAGTAGCTTAATGATAGAGCACCTGCCTTTCAAGCAGAAGATCACATCTTCAATCCCTGGTATCTTCAGGTAGAACTGGGAAGGACTCTCTGCCTGAAACCTCAGAGAGCTATTACCTGTTCTGAACCAGTATAGGACCAGTGGTGTCACTCAGTATGTCAGTTTCCTGTGTTCCTGATCAAGTGTTGTGGTGAGGGTAAAAATGGGGTGAAGGCAAGGGACAAATGTAGTATGCATCTTGTGCTCCTTTCAGGAAAGGCAGTATGAAGGAAAGTTATAATTAATTAACTAAATAATTAATAGTTAGTTAAATAAATGAGTTGGGAAGCTCTGTGGAGCAGAGCCTTTTATTTTGCTTATGTCTCTCTATAAAGGACTATGTATATTTATTCTTAATAATAACCACCTTAAATTTATTTTATCCAAGGACCAGGAACTGCACATTTATATTTGAGAAAGAGACAGCAACATGGGTGTGTGTGTGTTTTATTTCTACATTTACCGTAATTCCATTCACTCCTGCTTCCTCCCCAAAGGCATAAGAAAATGCATTCACATCTTATTATATTACCATCTTTTCTCCATCTGTGAATGGGTCTTTCTCTTCCTTGCCACGACAATTTTATACAAACATCTGTTTGCTTCTCTCTTTATCCCATTGCAAGGCTCCCAATATGTGGAGAGAGAGAGAAAAATGAATAGCTTTCATTCATTACGTGCAGAGAGGAAAGAGACACATCACCCCCAATGCCTGTGTGTGTTTTTGTATTGGTTGGTTACTAAGCTGCTTACTATGCGCGATGTGAAAATTTCTGGAAAGGACATTTCCCCAAAGACCCTTCTTCCCATGGATATCCAGGGTTTGTGTTCCAGAAAACAAACAGAAAAAAAGTGTTGCTAACCACAATACAGTGCAGCTGAAGCCTTCACTATGAGCTGATAACATTTGAATGCATGCTATCAGAAAGGGAGATCCCAGGTGTGAGCATGAATTCTGGCTGAAGACTTGAGCCTGCTCATTATTGCTGTCCAAGAAGCCAATGATCCTATTCATGCCTCTGTCAAACATGGCATCCATTGATATGTAAATGAACTATCCCAAAGTTACCAGTATAGATCATAGTATAGTGGTAAATCCAGATGTGCATGATAGTCACAGGCACACATGATCCCTCAGCTACAACACCTATTAATGTTATACAACCTTCTAAAATTATACAATAATAATAATTAGAGATGCATTGCAGCAATCAATGCAGACCTCAGTGTATTGCCTTTCAACTAGAACTACTATTTTCTGTGCATGTACACGAGCAGATGATTTGGAGTACTCCAGCATCTTCTTTTGGAGTGACTTAAGTTGGGTTTTCCTTGAAATTCCATGGTACACACAATTCTCTTGAAACTGAAGCACCTTGTGCTTTCGGTGTTCCTAAATACTTAGCTTTGGAGCATACAAAGCAGCAGCTCCTCAGTGTTCTTCTCACACACTTTCTCCAGAATGACCCTAGGAGTCAGTCCTCAGTGGCTGACTCACCTCCTTTCACTCTGATTAGTTCCAATCATCACAAAAGGTGAGAAGACTTCTTCTTGGTGGCTAGAAAGCTTGTGACTTTCATGCTGATTGGGTTGCTCTAGGAAGCTGGGGACAGGGACCTGCTGCAAGAATAGTAGCAGGTCTTCAACCCCCCTGCACCACTATACCTCAGTGGCCCGGTGCTAGTGGATGAAGTTGGTTCCTCCACTTGGTCAGGAGTCATTGTCACCTGAGCCCTGCCAAGGCCTCAGACCTGAGGTCTCCTTAGATGAGGAGCAAGGTTGCTCCACAAGATCTTCAGATTGCCAGTGACTCCAAGGTGCCATCAGATTTGGACATCCCTGCCACAAGGCCAAAGATCCACACAACTGCTCTCTGGATTCCTAGACTGCTCACAGAGCTCTCCCTGCTCTGCCCACCTCATCCTGGGCCACGAACAGAGGAAATGATGAGCCACACAGGAACTTCAGCCTCCAGCTCCAATATAAGCTACCAGTCTGAGCAGCTTCGTTGCTGCACAACAGCTTTCAGCCCAGCTCTAGGCTTCCTAAGCTGGTGAATGAAATGATGACTAGTTAAAGCATGTGCGTGCATGTAAATGCAGTGATCTGAAGGCACATGGTACAGCAAACTTGCTGAAACTAGTCAGGACTGGATCTGGCCAACATCTGGATGTGAGACTGACCAGGAAACCTTATGAGTACAACCACCACAGAGGAAATGCAGGAGATGCCTGCAATAAATAAATATGAACCAACCCACTATGCGGAAAATCTCACTGAGAGCTGAATAAATTCCCAAAACATTACACATTGAGTTCTATTGGCCCTCTCAGACAGACACAGCTAAGACCCAATTCTTATATTATAATTTTTGATACCACTGGTTTTCCAATGTCCTAATTCCAAGTTCTAAGTATGTCATTTGGAGGGTTTCTCTCATGTAGCAAGATGTGGCATTTATTTGGCATAGGTGGGTTAACTTTTCTGGTGGATTTATTCATGTGCTAAACACAGTAACAGTGCACTTAAAATATAAGATTCATTGCACAAAGCTAATGTAGTAAAGTTATCTTATAGTGCTGCAAAGGATTATTCTTACCCACTCCCCTTTGTGACTCCCCAAGGAGCAGTGTTGTGCTGTGTCCCAAAGGAATGGCAAATGTTTCCAATATGATGAATTTCCAACTTCACTCAACAAAAGTTTTCAGGAGATTTTTTAAAAGGAAAGTTTCCTTTAGAAATATATATATATCAAGGCATTTCAGGTCAATTCATTAACTAGTTCTCTTAGGAATGCTTTAATTACAGTGTTCTCAAACCAGAGGGGGGAAAGGTAAATATTGCAGAACCAACAGACCAATCTCGCTAATTAATATGGATTGCAAATGGGAAAGGAAAAAGAGTTGGTTAAAAGACGTAAATGAGTTCTCTCAGGGATAATGCATCATAATCAAGTGGGATTTGTCAAAAATAGACCTGAAACAAGGATACGATGTGCATACGTGCCTTAACTTTTTCTCCATAAAACACAGAACATTGTGCAAATATCAATTAAAACTCAAAATAGTGGTGTGAATTGAGAAACTAGGTGGTGGATAGACAAAAAGGTGCAAATATGCATATCAAGGGTAGCCAAGATATTGCATGCCAGTTGTTTCTGCAGACCAACTCCCTCCCCATTAGCCATACTTGCTGAGTTTGATGACAGCTTTAGTCCAACAACATCTGGAGGGCAACACTTGAGGTCAAGTGCATAGTACCTAAAGAAACTGTAAGGATACTATGGGGGAAGTAAGGAATGAAAATAATGCTTTACAATGGCGACATCTCCCCTTAAAGCCATCTCTTTTGTTGTGGGTGGGGGCTTGGGGTGATGACCTTTTTTCCTCAAAGTGTGTTGCGAAAGAGGAGCAGGAGAAATCTAGTCCACAACATGGAGGCTGCCACCACAAGTGCAATCCCCAACCCTCTCTCACATTGTTTCAGAAAGTGTGCATTAGCTATGTTTGCCTGTCCCAGGCTGAACTACCCCTTGAATGATATCTGGGAAGAAGCTATTTCAGAGCAATTAACTGGGCTTAAAAGGGTCACAAAAGGTGTTATAAAGAGATACTCCTTTGATGAAACATGGTCCCCTTCTTTTCACACACACAAGGGAAATAGATAGCAAATTTCTCTCACTGATTTTGCAAACATGTCTGTGGAGAGCCTACATTGACCATTAACATTTTAAGATTATGGAAAATAATGCTATATACTCAATGCTATGGTTTTTTGTTTTGGTCTTTTGCAGAGACTGAATTAGATTTTATTAAAATAATAATTTTATTTTAGGAGGGACACGGGTGGCACTGTGGTCTAAACCACTGAGCCTCTTGGGCTTGCCGATCAGAAGGTCAGCGGTTTGAACCCCTGCGATGAGGTGAGCTCCCGTTGCTTGGTCCCGACTCCTGCCAACCCAGCAGTTCAAAAGCATGCTCCCCACAAAGTGCAAGTAGAAAAATAGGTACCGCTCCGGCGGGAAGATAAACAACATTTCCGTGCACTTTTCTGGTTTTGCCAGAAACGGTTTAGTCATGCTGGCTCCATGACCCAGAAAAACTGTCTGCGGACAAACTCCGGCTCCCTCGGCCTGTAAAGCGAGATGAGCGCCGCAACCCCAGAGTCATTCGCAACTGGACTTAACTGTCAGGGGTCCTTTATCTTTACCTTTAAAATAATAGTAATAAAAATTAAAAGGTATGTTTGCCTATAAATATGAATTGAGTCACTACAATCACGTGATTGAAAGTCCCTTCACATTTAAAATTATACAGTGGCCACCTGAGATCTAGTCACCTGTGCCTAAGGATTATTTTATTTATTTGAAGAGGAGGAAATTCAACAGTGTGAGATAGCCCATACTCAGATTTAAAATCTCAGGGGGAAAACTACATCTAAATATTAAATATATTAACTGAACTACAAGAGAATTCCCTCGGGTAGCTAAGGAAAGTCCTCCAAAATAAATGGTGCTAGATTAAAACCAAAAACTGAAGTGAGATGCTGCTTTGACCTCAATTCAGATAATTTTACTGGAAATGCTGCTTGAAGATGAAAAGGCTTGTTTAATTAGAGCGAGACAAAAAATGGCCCTCATTCTCAGGCAGCAAATTTGGAGGCCATTTTGATTATTTGGGGCAGAAAGTCTACAAAATATGGGGGTGAGCTTATATCTGGGGCGACAAACAGCATTCTCCTCCCCCCTTTTTAAATTTTGTTTGTAGAACAGGCAACAGTAGCAGTGTGGTTCTGTGACAGACACTCTCACTGAAGATTGGTGCTGGGAAACATGACCAATATTATGGGTAGGTGTGTTAATCAAGAAACTTCTCCCCGTATTCACCCAGTAGCGGGAAGGCACCTACTTTCTTATGAAATAACAGCAGCAATTTTGCCTTTTCATCTCCTTGATTTCAGTAGGAGAGATGAACGGGGCAGTCCTATACATTGGGAATTGTGACAGGAAGTCCCTCAGTGTTCGCTGGGG